GTGTAGGTTATTCAAATTCTCAAGGGCCCCTACCTTTATTTTTGACTCTCCTACCTCTCACTCCCTCCCACTCTTTCTCTCCCCCTCTCTCTCTCCCTCTCTTCTACCTTCTCCCATTCTTAAAAAGTGAAAAAATGTGGAGAAAAAGAGTGACTGAGTGGTTTTTAATCTGGGAACCTTCTGACGTCCCTCTCAAGGTGTTTACAGGTCGGTGTTGGTGTACAAGTTGTTGTGTAAAGGTGCTTTAGGTTCATTAATGGGAGGATGTTACCTGGCCTTTACCACCACTATCACCACTACTACCATTATCAACACTGTCACCACCACTACCACCACCACTACACACCACTCACACACACACACACACACACACACACACACACACAGCTGTAATTCACGACTAACCTTTAAAAGTTGTATATATATATATATATATATATATATATATATATATATATATATATATATATATATATATATATATATATAAACAAACATTAATCCCTCCAAACACAAGATCTTTTAGCGGCTCCTTGACGTCTGAGACAGTGCAGGTAACTTCTGGTGAGTCTTGTGTGTGGAGTTAATGAGTGGTTCCTTACGCACGGAATTTGGGAAATAACATTTGGAGAGTTAAATTGCTTTGTGTGTTTGTGTGTGGCGACGTGTGGTGTAATGACATACTCGCCTCGCAAGCGAGCGGACCTGCGTTCGACCCTCGGGCAGAGTGAAACTATGGGCAAGTTTCTTTACGCCATTTGCCTCTGTCTACCCAGCAGTAATGAGGAACCTGGATGTTAATCGATTTGCGGATCGTGTTCCGGGGTAATGGTTAGGAGTGCAGTTGACGAGTTGTCCGGTCTTCTCGGACTATTCCTTGACACTGGGTCATGCAGCTCGTTAACTTAGGGTGTGGTTGTTGTGTCGGCTACAGCTTCTACACCTTAAACAAATTCATGCCTAGGTGGCCCTAGGGTCAGCCATCCTCGTTACATGAGGGGCCACCATTATTATTATTTTATTATTTGTGTGTGTGTGTTACTGACCTCTCTCTCTCTCTCTCTCTCTCTCTCTCTCTCTCTCTCTTTAACATTTCCAAACTCTGGCTCAGAAAACAGTCAAGCCATTGATTATTGAAATCCTTTCATGGACGGACGGACAGACGGACCCACCCCTTCCCCCTCTCCAGCCTCCCTCCCGTCCCCCCCCCCCCTCCCCCGCCTCCTCCCCTGTCGTATCATAGCAGACAACAGTGATGACAGTCTGTTATCACTGAGAGGTTTTATGTTAATTATGTATAATGGACTCTCTCTCTCTCTCTCTCTCTCTCTCTCTCTCTCTCTCTCTCTCTCTCTCTCTCTCTCTCTATACATCGGTAAAGTACCTAGTAAACTATCTCACGCTGGTCTCACTTAAACTCAGGTTATGTAATGTGTCGAGGCACTTTAACCATAACACATTATAAAACTCTCGTTAATGACTGTGTGTGTGTGTGTGTGTGTGTGTGTGTGTGTGTGTGTGTGTGTGTGTGTGTGTGTGTGTGTGTGTGTGTTTACCCTCAGTTCTTCCTGGAAACGTGAATATAATTGACACTCCTTGTGTATAAACAAGTTTGCATTTATTAAACTCATTAAGGTATAATTACTTTAAAATTACACCTGTGGAGAGAGAGAGAGAGAGAGAAAGAGAGAGAACGCACCATTAAGTCTTAGTGCCTCAGGGAGACAAAGAGAAAGATACCTGGGAGATAGGTCAGGTCTCTCCACTTGTCTCTTTGTCCAGTGAGAGGGCGTGTCTCACCTGCCATCCACTTAGGTCACACCTCCACACCTGTCTGCTGCTTTTGTAGCACCGCGCCACCCGTCACACCACCACGTTCCACCACCACGTCACACCATCACGTCACACCACCACGTCACACCACCACATCCCACCACCACGTCACATGCCACACCATCGTCATACCACCATGTCGCATCACTACCACGCCACACCACCACATCACAACCACCACGTCACACCATTACCACCACATCACACCACCACGCCACACCACCGCCACACCACCACACCATCACGTCACATCACCACATCACACCACCATCCCACACCATCACACCACACCACCACCACCACGCCACACCACCGCGCCATACCATCACGCCACACCACCACGTCAAGGTGATCTGGGTGGCGATTAACCTCCATCTTGCTCACCTAACTAATGGACCGATGCCGAAAGCTGATTAGACGGGATTATTAGGTCCCGGGCCGATTATGTCTCCAATCAATGAGTTAAGGATTATTTTACCGCCCCAAAGATCTTTAATCAGTCGTTAAGGTGGTGTGTGTGTGTGTGTGTGTGTGTGTGTGTGTGTGTGTGTGTGTGTGTGATCTATCTGAACACACAGACACACTGAGTTGGACCAGAGAGAGTACATTATTTATCGGGCAATAAATCTTTGTATGTCTCTCTCTCTCTCTCTCTCTCTCTCTCTCTCCTCTCTCTCTCTCTCGGGGATCATCCAACAGTATAGTGTTAGATTGAGGTTGAAAGTTAAGAATTCCTTCGACCGACTTTGAGCAGTACTGTCCCGTATGTATGTATGTATGTATGTATGTAT